AACACCTTTGGAAATGAACGGAGCAAATCTAAACTTACAGGATGTGCCGAAAACAAGTCTGTGATAGTCATCGTGTTGCTGTCACACCTATGCCGCTCAATGTAATTATGCTTTTGTAATTCACCAAATAACTGTTGCATCTGTGATCTTCCAACTTTCTCAATAACATTATTCCTATGAAGTACATTGTAAATGGTTTTCATAGTTGTTACATTCAAAGCATCCTTTCGTTTCAAGGTAACCAAAATCTCTTTTAGTCTGACCATGCTTTTGGACATATCTACTAATAATGATATTTCCTCCTCAAATAATCTTCCTGCAAATGAATGTCCTTCAAAATGTTTAGCAGAAGCATGGTTATGCGTTCCACATGCTACATCCACCATCCAATCATCATTAGCCATCAATTTACAAGCCCTCAACTCAAAGGGACACCCGCATTTCTTTGTACCCGTTATTTTCACAAATTTTTTACTTGAATCATCTGCTTTTAATTTCTTATGAGCTCCGTATTGACCACTTCTCTCACAAGCAAGAAATATCCTTGGTGTCCTATGACTACCACCATAGTCCGATGTCTTCATGACAATCACAAAACCATTTTTCCTTCCAACATCCCGTACCCAACTGAGCAATTCTTCTTTACTCTTGAAAACCTACATATCAAATTAATCAAAGTCATTAAACATTCGGGGAAAAAAAAAACTAATTTTCGACATGAGAGTCTCATTAGTAGTAAATTGACTTGTATAGTTAACAAGACACTCAGATCCAACATTACTGCATTCCGTGGATTCACAAATCTGGAAAAATAAAAAATAAAAAATAAAAAAATATTATACTTGTTCGACAGTACATAGTCGAACATGGCACATATGTTCGACCAATTATAACCGGATATGTAGTATTTGTTTGACACATATGAACCGAATTATTGATATAAGTTTGACAGTAATTGACAGCACAAAAAAAATTTGTACGATAGTAAATAGTCGAACATTACATTAACATACAACTCTGTATAACCAAACTAATACAAACGGTTTAGCCCTCCCCGAGTACACGAAAACGGAAAAAAAAATATGAAAAAAATAACCTTTTCGCTGCTCTATTGTTCCAAATCAGTGTTGTTAGATGCATCCATCATTCAATCCAATCAAAATCTTTAATAATATGTATATTTTTTATTGTTTCTTTCAAGGGTTTTGATCCAATCAAAATCTTTAATAATATGTATATTTTTTATTGTTTCTTTCAAGGGTTTTGGGTTTTGTTTTAGGGTTTTTGAATTCTTGACAAACAAGATACGTTTGTAATGTTTGGGAATAAAGATGTGTATTATATTCAATATTGTCCTTCATGGTAATTATAAAAATGGTGTGTTATAACCTTTGTCCTTTCTGGTCATTTTATCTTAGGTTAAAATTATAATTAAAAAAAATTACTTAAGAGTGCTGCTATTAGTACATACCAAAATTCTTTGGACTCCCCATTTCTTTGGACCCCAACCCTAAACCCTAAATTTTAATAATATTTTTTTGGACACCCCACTTATTACCAAATCTACCCATATTCATAATATTTTCACAATCAAATGCACACCTACCTAATTTTTCATACCTCTCCTTCCCTGACCGTCGATCTACTGTGTTCATCTTCTCCACATCAATTGAATCCATTTTGCTACTGAAGTGCTTCAACACTTTTCTTTGGACATTACTTTATTTATTTTTTTCTTTTTTCTTACAAGTGCTTCAACACTTTCGAATCAAGTGGTGCTGCAATTTTTCGAAAATTCAACACAAAGGTATGATTTACTACTATAGAATTTTTCATCTACCATCAAAGGTATAATTTATTTATCTTTTCTCTTCAATTAATCATAACCACAAAAATAAAAAACCCTTTACCAACCAAAACCACAACCACACAAAACCCTAAAAGCCAGACACTTTTCCTTAATCTAGCACTTAATTGATGGAAGCCATCCCAACAAATTGGGATTGGGCAAACAAACCTGTTTCCTATTCTGCTAAGTAGGATATATCTTTGGGCAGATAAGGAACATTAAGGTCTACCCCACTACTTATCATACATCCTTTTGTAACTTTCACCTATCACCATATCACTCCTAGCAGTGCTGGCAATTGAAACAAACACTAACAGATAGATTTCTATTTTGAAAGGATAGACTACCCTTGACCAATATATGGTTACATAAATGCAGACAAGATGCAATTGACAGCAATAAACAAACAGGCCTTAGTTTCACATGACGTAAGATGGAGAACGGATTTAAATAAAGTAATTCACTTACAAGAAAACCATATGCTTCAATATATGTCAAACATCTTTAGAAATTTTACTGTGCTTAAAAATATGCACCTTCTGTGTCCTGAGTATGACTTACCATACTCATAATGCTGCAAGCCTCTGTCGGTTTTGGCAAATGATTTGATTAATGTTTTTGATTCTTTTATAAGATTTTATCAGTTAGCAGCAAGACTTCCATTCTATTATATACTTCAGTGGTTCCCTGGGGAGATGTAGTCTATAACATGTAAAGAATTACATTTATGAACAATTGTATTTCTTCTATGTATAGCTTGTTCCCAAATGCGGCTTAAATCATAACTACAATTCATATCAAAATGCAAAGCTTTAAGCATTTAGATTCAAGTTATAACATGCATTTTCCTGTTACAGTATGCTAAAAAATTAAAAAAAACTCAATAAAATACTGTGGCCTGTTTATTGTATTAAAAGAAGGTAAATAAGAATTGGTCATGACACCTATCTAAGATAGGCTTCAATGACACATCTAATTGTACTTGGTGGACAGCTATAGTGAAAAGTGCTCGAGATCGCCCAACAGCGTCTAGGAGATGTAATGTTGTACTTTCTCAAAAAGTGGCTAAGAGACCTCGATGAACTCATAAGACTAAGGATCAAGGTAGTGGAGTTAATGAACATGACATGAATGATATAGGTGCTGCTCTAGCAAAAACGGTTGAGGTTGAAAACAATGGGGCAATCAATTGAATGTGAGTGACATGGGTGATGATTTGGGTGATGAACCAATAGATATGGGTGATGAACCAACACACATAGGTGATGATCTGGGTGATGAACCAACAAACATGGGTGACTATGAAGACCAACCAGCAGATACAACTGAAAAAGTTAATGAAGACCTCTCATCTTCTCTATTTATCGAGCTCCTTCTCGATTTATCAATCCAATATAAGAAAATACACTTTTAGCAACCACTTTGTCTCTCTCTCACTTATCACTCTATCTCTGTCTCTATCTCTCTTCTTTATCTGTCTCTCACAAAATTAAAATATTTAAAAAATTGATTTGAATTAAGTTTTGAAAAGAGTTTTCAATTATGTGTTTGGTTATGAGTTTTGAAAAGTAATGATTATATTTTGAATTGAGTTTTGAAAAATGGATGTAGAATTATGATTTGAAAGCTCAAAACAAATACCATACTTAAATCAATGAGTAGAACTATGACTATCACCACTACTGCCACTACTACTACCATTACCTCTCATCCACCATCGCCACCACTCCACTACCACCACTACCACTACTGCCACTACTACTACCATTACCTCTCATCCACCATCGCCACCACTCCACTACCACCACTACCACTACTGCCACTACTACTACCATTACCTCTCATCCACCATCGCCACCACTCCACTACCACCACTACCACTACTGCCACTACTACTACCATTACCTCTCATCCACCATCGCCACCAGAATTACTCTTGAACACAAAGGGTTCGTTTGGCATGAAAATTTAAGTTAGGTTTGGATTATTTTAGTAACAAAAAAAAAAAAATGGACCGTAGAAAAATATTTTTCATTGACAAAAAAAAATTAACTTTATTTTAATGGAAAATATTTTTAATTAAAATATTACCCTTACTTCTACAAAAAAAAAAAAAATCATTAAAATAAAAATGAAACATATCTCTTTCACTCTTTGTCATTACCCCTACTCATCTCTCTTTGTCTTTCTATCTGTCTCTCTCTCTCTCTCTCTCTCTCTCTCTCTCTCTCTCTCTGTGTGTGTGTGTGTCTCACACTGTGCTCGCATTGCTCACTCTCTTCGTCCCCTCTTATTGATTTACTGATCTCCCTTTCGATTATCGATCTCTTTTTTTTTCTCTCCCTCTCTCTCACTCATCACTATTCTCTCTAGTTTTCTCATCTCTCTCTGCTCTCTATCTCTCTTGCTCATCTTTCTTCTCTCTCTCTCTCTCTCTCTTTCTCTTTTTATGTCTCTCTCTCTATATCTCTTGTTCATCTCTTTTTGTTGTTTCTCTCTCTCTCTCTCTCTCTGTCTATCTCTCGCTCATCTTGTTTCTCTCTTTTTTTTTCTCTGTGTGTGTGTCTCTTTCTCTCTCTCACTCATCACTATTCTCTCTGGCTCTCTCATCTCTCTTGCTCACCTTTCTTCTCTCTCCTTCTCTCTCTATATCTCTTATTCATCTCTTTTTGCTCTCTCTCTCTCTCTCTCGCTCATCTTGTTTCTCTTTTTATTTTTATTTCTCTCTCTTTTTCACTCATCTCTCTCAAAAAATGAGTTTACGTTGGGTTTTAAACAAAAATCTAAAAATTTGACTAACAATATTTTTTTAATTAATTGTTTTTTCAAAAAAATTTTTAATTAATTTTTTAAATATTTTTTTTCAAATAAAATTTTTTCAATAAATTTTTTTTTTTCAATTAAAATGTGTATGATCTCATTGTCATAAATAATAAAAAAATAAATATAAATATTTTAGGCCTGGATAAACATGTATTTTAGTTTATGTTTTTAATTTTTTTTAAAAATATTTTGTTCAAACGCATTTGTAATTTATATTTTTCTAAAAATAAACAAAAATCAATTTATAAAATTTTTGTAAACATAAATTAAAAATATAAATGTTATCAAACCTACCTTAAATTTTCATATGATCCAATTATGATTGATGTGGCGAAAAAAAAAAAAAGCCCAAAATCTGTTTCCTGCTTATTCCCCCCGTCCTCCCCAACCAAAAATCCCCAAATCTCAAATCCCTAATTTTTTAATCAAAAATCCCCATCTCTCTCTTTCGCGACTGTGAGCACGACAAACGATGGAGTCGAGCGACGGGGTTAAGGAGCCTCACTCTTTTGTTTCTCACTACGTTGGCTTTCCCTTTGTTGCTCTCATTCCAGTGGCGAAGGAGCTACTCAGGGACCACCGCAGCGATTAATAGCAGGCTCGAAGCTTTCAGCTTCAAGAACATCGATCCGCTTAGATTCGCATGATTGAAGAGACTCTCCGATTCGCTGGTGTTCCTGGTGCGGTCTAATTTCTTATATCTTTCTGTCTATCTGAATATATTTTGATGATTTCATTTGATTTCATTTCATTTAAATAAAAAGGACATTCTTATATTTTGCAATTGTTTTGTTGAATCCACGATGGAATGCGAAGGTGATTACATCTGTGGCGGGTGGATTTTTTACCAAGGCCAGTTACAATTGTACTGAGGAAATTTTGAGCTTTGCTAAGTTGTTCAACGATGAACTCACACCGGATAATATTAGCAGGTTGAGCTTTATTATCATTGATTGTGCATTATTCTGTATCCTAGCTATTTTATGTAGGTTTACTATCATACCACCGTGAGTATGGGTGGCCTTTTTAATTTTATGGTGTAAAAGATCTGGGTGAGTTCGGACACAGTTAAGATTGGGCTGTCTGGTCTATCTTCGTAAATCTCACAGCTTGTTTTGAGGTTGACTTGAACTTTTTGACCTGCTTGTGCTCTAGTTTGAATTTATGACTTAGATGATTATTTTTCCTCAACTTGGAAGAAAGATATTGTGGATTTATTCTCATAAATTGTAGTGTCCTTGGAATAGTTTAAGCCCCTTGAAATGAGACTTCTAGAATTCACAAAAGTTGTGCTAGAAAGTGGTGTGGGGCCGTAGAGGTTTGGATGAAACATGTACTTCTTGCTTCCCATTTCTTGCATGTTCATTGAATTTGCTGTCTATCAAGAGTTTTACTTTCTATTATGAATTGATATGTTAGCTTTTTATTCAGGCACATGTACTGTTGAAGCAAAAGAACCTTGAGAAAGAAGAAGGTAGGTTTATAAAAGTGGCAATTTTTTTGATAACTAGTTACTGCTTTATATTTTTCATGCTTTAGGTGATACTGATAATAAGAGTGCTTCTCCTATTGTTTTTTTTTTTTTTTTTTGGTCCTACAGCTGTCCTCATTATGAATGGTCAAATTCGCGAAGAAAGGCAAGAAAAAACCAGGGAACTTTTGGAAGGGTCACAAGGAGTAAGCGACTCAAGGATGTGACAGATGTTGCCAGATTTTGAGGATGCTAACCAACTAGTTGGTGATCGCTTGCATGGGATGTCGAATGGTGTTATGTCCCTTGCATCTTTATTTAGAGAATCCATGGTGAAATTCTATTTGTCTTTGAAATCTCAAAGCCAAGTTCCACTAGTTGTAGTGATTACCCTTGTTATGATTCTTCTGTTGATGCAGGTAAATACTTCTTAACTTTCATGAGTATCTTTCCAATTTACATTCAGGGTAATTGGGTTAAGCTATTCTTTCATTTGAATTAGGAATTTGGTTCATTTTGCTTATGACGATAGTTGTTCTTATTATGGTTGAGGGGTGATCCATTTTTGGATTTCTTGTTAGAGACAATCCAAGATGTTTTATTGCTGAAGTGTTTATATAGTCTTAATTTATTCATTCGCGCCATTGTTGTTGTTCCATGGTGGTTATTTAAACCATCTTGCTAAATGATAGGGTATGTTTTCTGTTTTATCTCAACCATTACCTGCAAATTTGTTTATGAGTTTGAATTTTGATTTTTCGTGCAATGATGCATGACTTAAATGGCATAGAGTAGTATGTTGATTTGTCATAGAATTCAATTTTAAAAATTTCTGTTGTTTAGTATTATGTTAAAAATTCAAGCCATTTACATATCAATATCAATTCAAAATTCAATTCTTCTTGTTTTTGAATAAATTTTAATGTGTTGGTTATATATTAATGTTATGATATCAGTCTAGAAAGGAATTATCTTTGAAAGTTTTAGTATTCCTTTAATGCTATTATAAATTGATGGACATGACTGGATCATATTTGCAATGTGTGCAAGAAAGTCCATCTTGCCCCATAAGATAATATTTATTGGAAATTATTTTATCCTTGCTATTTGGAAATATACCTTGTTTAGACAGTGAAATATATTGAGGATGTCTTAGGAGTGCACTTGATGTAAATAGTCTTTCAATATTTTAATAATAAGTATTGCCATAATGCTAGAATAAGTTGTTGAACATGACTGGAAATCTGTGGTGTGTGCAAGAAAGTCCACTTGCCTCTTAGTTAATATTGATTGGAATTTAGTTTGTCCTTGCTGTTTGAAAATATACCTGGTTTAGTTTGGGGGTGAAGTATATTGAGGATGTCTTAAATATGTGCACACACGAAGAGTGTAACCCTTATATGTAGGGCAAAAATGAGCCGGGCCAAACCAATTAGTGGGTTCCTCATTAGTTTCAGTGAATTCCTACTTCATTTGATCTTGGCTTGAGCTGGATTAGTTGGATTCTATCTAGTCCCAGAGTGCTTCTTAGCTTGTTAAGCTGAGTTCATGTTGAACTGAACAAATTAATGAGCTTCAAACATGAGAATTACAAAAATAGTTATCTTAATATTTTTTTAACCTTTTTCCCCCTATTAGTTATTGTACGGCAGCTGCCATGTTGCACATGTAGGACAAATTTGCTTGGTGAGACTAGTTTTTTTTCTTTTTATGTGCTCCATTCTGTCTTTGAGCTGGTTACCAGGATTTAATTTTCCCACCTATCCGTATCCATTTTCCTTGTTCAAGATTATCAGTGACCATTTATAATTACTATTACTATATTATTACTATTTCAATTTTTGCTCATGTTTATTTAACTGTTTTTCATGACATTTTTTATAAAAGGAAAAAAACTAACTATTGTTACTTCTCCATATTGCTTAAACTTTTTCTTATGCTCAAACTTAGGACTTGTTTTTGGTTTCCTCATTTGCTGCAGCTAAGCATAGTCATGCTCCTAAGTAGACCTCAAGAAGTCCAATTGATTCCTCAACCCGATTACATGAGTACCATGTGCAGTTTAAGCGAACGAATGCCTGAAACGATGGCTTGGATGGAGAAGCGGATTGACCATCTCAAGGACGAAATGCATGTGATCGAGACCTTGCTTGTAAGAACCTAAATTTTTAGACAACTAATTAGTTTATTAATAATAATATTAAGCCAATCTATAGTGATTGTTAAACCTTTAAATTATAATATTAGTAAGACCATAATTAATATCAATATTAAATTCCTTTAAATAAAATTATTTATCTTGATGTGATTAAAATTCTGTATCAAAATACAGTTGTGAAAACTAAATGGATCAAATTGATAGTAAATAAGCTAGCTAGAATTCAGTAGGAAGAAAACCATCCAGTTGAAAATAATAATAATAAATAAGTAAACAAATAAATAAATTATATATACATATTAATATTGTATTAACACCAATTTCAATTCAATTCAATTCAAAAAAAAAAAAAAAAAGAAATAACAAAGTTGAAAGAAAAGGGGACCAAAATAGGCCAAAAGAGGCCTAAGGGGAAGAGTTCGACCCCCAATGCCAAAATGCCCTTAATGAAAGTTGTTAAGCACGAAAATACAAGACTTTTTCATGTTATACACAAAGCCTAAATCAGCATGCAAGATAGGTAGAAAACTAGTGCAAGATTGGGGAAACTAAAGCAAATGTCTCACCCTTGAAGAAACCTTGAAGAACAGATGATCCAGCCACTCAAAGCAAGAGAGAAGAGAAGGAAAGAAGGGCCCAACACTTGGGATTTTTTTTACTTCACTAAGGTAATAATACATCACCTCTATCCTCCCTTAGATATCTCTAACTGAATTTATATAATTTATATATGCAAGACTAAGCATGGTTAAGTCATATATAGCAAAATAGTACCATGCATGTTTAAAACTTTGATGGGATGAGGATTTCATTATGTTATAATTTCCTATTCCTTCTTGCAAATATAGATATATGGCTTAGCTACTGTTTTTATGTGTTCAATATTCTCCATTGTTGATAAAATCTTGCAAAAGAGTAAAATGAGATGAGAATGGCTTCCCTTTACCTGAAACTTAGATTCTTCCTCACTGTTTCAGACTTTATCGGATGAAAAGAGGGCTCTAATAAATTGAAAATAATTGATGTTAAAAATCTGTGTATACTGGAAGCATATATAGGTGTTATGCACTGTGTAAAATTTTTATAAAATCATTGGATACCATTTTCTTACCGAAACAAATATTTTCCCTAAGCGTCGCTTACAACACAGCAGAAGCAGTGGCTTCAAACAGGTCCCATTTTCTCTACAAAGGGTATTTTTTTGCACGACTACTTGGAAAATTTAGATTTTTAAGTTACCTTTCGAACGCCACTGGTTTCATAATTTTTTATTAAGTGTTGAGAGAGAAACGCCAAATTTTTCAAAATGTGACAGAATCTGTCCATTTTTCTTATAAAAATTATTTGACCTCCTTCGACTGGTTTTCAGTCTTCATACTCTTCTGAAAATATGTTCCAAACTCAAAAATTTAGCAAAAAGTTCTGACCATGCCTCTTTTCGACACCATTTGAGGACCCTTTTTATTTTTCGAACACAGAACACCTGTGCTGACGTTTTCATGGCCTGGATATTTTTTTTTTATTTCATTGCTGTTTGGAGGCAGCAGCAATGCTGACTTTGCCAGGTCACCGTTTATTCCAAAGAATAAATTTTCAAGTGGTTCAAATTGGAAAAGTTATATTTTTAAGTTGCCTTTCAAACGCCGCTAGTTTCGTAAATTTTTATTAAGTATTGGGAGAGAAACACAAAATTTTCCAAAATGTGATAGAATCTGTCCAGTTTTCTTAGAAAAATTATTTGACCATCTTCTGTCGATTTTCAGTCTTCGAATCCTTCTGGAAACATGTTCTAAACTCAAGTATCTAACATTCTGTTCTCACTATACCTTCTTTTGACACCGTTTGAGGCCGTTTTTATTTTTTTCAACACAGATTACCTGTGCTGGAAGTACTGTAACTCACTGTCCCAGAAAAATCAGCTTTCTTCCAAAATTTATTTCTCCCTTTAAAAATTGTTTTTAGCTCAGGTATCCTTCTCGGAATATTTTCCTAACTCAATGAATTAGTACCAGTTAAAATATCGTAATGATTGAATATCGTTTGATATGGGTTTCATATTTTTACATACAGTGCTAAAAAAAAAAAAAAAGGTAGTGTGTGAATTATTAAGAAATTTTGTGATAATTCTTAAGACATTCTATCATGTTTATTTTGGTTGCCATACACGATTGTGTTGTGCTATATAAACATTATGTCACTGTAGTTTTCAAACTAAAACTCGTACATGCATCAAAATGTGAATTGGACAAAGTAAAGGGACACGGAATCGAACAGATACATTAAAATTTAAAAGTAATGGGGTGAGCCCGGTTTAGAATTTTGCGCAAGTGAGTTGCGAACCCTAACATGGCACGGGAAGGTATTTCGGCTCTTATCGGTACAGGCGATATAAGGTTGGTGGTGCGGGTGTCACAACGTAGACCGTTCCCTTGGGGCAGACCGTGATGTCACGACTCGGGTACATAACCCTGGTGCGTGGGCATCATTGGTAGTTACAGTAAGTAACATTTGAATATTTGACCAAGGGGGAGTCAGAATTGCCCGTGGCCATTGCTTAGCGGTTGAGTGGAAATAGTGCTCCGCGGGGAGTTACTTAAATTTATCTGATAAACTGAATCTATGAGAAATTAGAAAGAAAAGCATGCATTTTCCTTATGATGAATCACTATTTCCATTTGTCATTTTTATTTATTTATCTATTGTTGTTATTTTAACTATTAGCATTTCTGTTATGCTTATTAAATGCTGCTTACTATTTTGTTATTATACGATATTTATTATTTATGAGTATTATTATCGGGGTGGGTATTTTCGGGTTGTAGTATATTACTGAGCTCGTCGCTCATTGGCATTCTCGTTGCCCTGGCGTTTTATGCCAAGTACTGAAGAAAACGAAGGAAACGCCGAGGTGTAGGAAGGCAACATTCAACCCTGGTTAGCTTGAAGCGTGCCAAAACTCCATGAACCATTTTTTTTAGTTTTCTAGTTTTTCTCTAGTTCTTTTTATATTTGTGTACTAAGACAAGGTTTTAAATTTGATTGGAGTTGTAATTTAAGAACTTTTAATTTCCGTGTTGTAAATTAATGGATGATGGTAAATTTGGTGGCAACATTGATGAAGATTCTTAATTAAGAAAATTGACTTTAAGTTTTAAACCTTATTATGATGTCCTCAAATTTTGGGGCGTCACGTTGCTAGAAAAGATGCAGCACGAGCACACATTCTTGAAAGCTCAACTGAAAGATCTAGAGTACTTTAGAAGGCAGCAAAGATGATAGGTAACTGTATATATGCCCATTCTTCATTATGCCGATAAATGTTCATTTGATTTTCATTTGTTTTTTTTATTATTTTAAATTCAATTTGTAAATCTGCAAGATACATTTCAATCTGGAAGATGAGAAAATTGATGTTGAGCTTGTGCTAATCACAAGTTGTGTACAACATTGCTGGCCTGGCCTTGCATTTTAGAACTTGGCATTTGTGCTTGTGAGATTATGCTTGTGGAATCAGGACAACCTTGTTACTTGTATTTGTTTCTATAATATATATACACATTCCAAGGTCTTGTTCGCTATTGCATTATGGAATTTTCAAATTCTAGCGTTGTCCACTGAAAGATAGTAGACAATTGCGAATTACATCAAAACCCAATGCAACATTGTGAAACGATAAGTTGCGTGGACACAAATTTGGATTCTCTCGTAATAATTTTTTTTCTTTTTATATTTTTGGTGGGGAAAAAAAAAGAAGATAAAGGCATTATTTAGTAGTTAATTTTTTATGTTTTTCTGTAATTAAAATATTAACACCATTATATTGTCATTAATTATTTTTATTTTGTTATTTTCAGAAATTTCCTGAGTAGCAGTTTACTTCTTGTGGAATGCGGGCGTGTAAAGATTATGACCAACTTTTATTTTTGTAACCCACAGAAGAATAATGATGAAAACTTTTCATTTTGATTTACGTTATTTAGATTTATGAACAACATTATGTATGTTTTATGCGACATTATATAGTGGGATAATTTTTATTGTTATGAATTTTTATTTATGTATTGTTATGAATTGAACAACATTATGAATTTTCATTATCTGCCAACTTTTGTTTATGTATGTATTTATATTATTATGTAATTATTGTTTTTTTTTATAGTTATTTTTCATTTAATATAGGTTTTTTTCATATTTTTAATAATTTTAATATAGTTTTTTTTTTTTTGAGACAGTAGCACACACACCGTCTCAAAAAGAAAATTGATCCAGGGTTTTTTGCGACAACAGCTTTACTGTCGCAAAAGGTAGGGGAATTGGTTAAAAAGTAGGGCCTTTAGCGATGGTGTTTTTGCCGTCGCCAATAGTCCTTTAGCGACGTCATCAGTTGCTGTCTCAAATAAACTTTTAGCGACGGAATTTTTATCGTCACAAAAAACCCTTTTAGCGACGGCAACACAATGCTGTCTCCAAAAAACCCAGATTTTCACCCGTTATTTGTGACAGAATTTTTTCGTCACAAAAAAGGCATTCTGCCGTCGCAAAATAAAGGCAACGACGTTATGCCGTTGCTAAAAACCTTTTGCAACCCCCTTTGTTGCGACCCCTCACTTGCCGTCACAAAAAGCCATTTACCGTCGCAAAAAACCTTTTGAGACGGCGTTTGGGGTATTTGCGACGGCGTTTTGCCGTCGCAAAAAAGTAATTTTTTTGTAGTGAATTCTCTATTTGTGACAATAATAGAAGGAAGAGTATTTTCATCCATGATACTATACAAAAGACCAAGTGCCCATGTATAGTTATCCTCCTTCTCATACTGGAGGTATGCAAATGTAATTGAAAAGGTCATGTCTGTTGATGTCACACCTACAATCTCCAGAAGGGGCAACCGATATCAATTGGTCTTATAAGTACAATCCATCAACAATACCTTTGGAAATGCACGTAACAAATTCAAACTAGTAGGATGTGCAAAGAACAAATCCGTCACTGTCTCAGTATCTGCACGGCTCCTATGCCACTCAATGTACTTGTTCATCGCTAACTGACCTAATAGTTGTTGCATTTGAGATCTCCCAGCTTTCTCAGCAACTTTATACCTATGACGTGCATTGTAAATTGTCTTCATTATGGAAGCATTTGCATCATCACGTTGTTTCAATGTAACCAATATCTCACTCAGTCATACCATACTCTTCGACATGTCTACCAACAAAGAGGTTTCCTCATATGACAACCTTCCAGCATAAGAATGACCCTCAAGATATTCTGCAGCAGGATGATTATGGACACCACAAACAACTATCAAGATCCAGTCATCATTTGTGGCTAATTTTTTGCCCTTCAATAAAAAAAGACATTCACATTTTTTTGTACCAGTCAGTCTTGTTTTTTTTTTTTTTCTTAGGCCTGTTATTTTTTCGAGTGTCCCTATAAGATCCACTCCTCTCACAAGCTAAGCTAAGTCTTGGCTTCCTACCTCGAATACCACCCCCATTTGATTTCTGTACAACAATAACGAATCCATTTCTTCTTCCAACTTGACGTGCCCATCGAATTAACTCATCTCGACTCTAGAATATCTGAAATAAATAAATTAAACTAACTAATTATTGCACATAAAAAAGGTACATTATTTGTAAAAACAATCAAAGACTCACCTCATGAGTAACAAATTCATTACTATAATCCATTACAAGTTCTGAATCAACCTACTGCCTCTAGTCGAAGCATCACCCTGAAAACACATGTGAATGTAATTTCAAAATTGAAAAAATGATGTTCATTTCATGTCACGACCCAAACCCGCCCCTAAAAGTTTGGTCCATGACTGGCCTGTGCATAGGCCTCAAAACAAAATTTTACGAATATTTATTCATATACGGGGCCTTAAGCGGAAGCAAATACCAATATAAAGATAATGCCCATTGAGCTTGTGCATACATGACGACTTCAATAAATTTAAACATTTAAATACACTTCCATATTTACATATACAATCACAGAACTTATATAGATCTCACACGTACACTTATATAAGACTCCATAAATTACATAGCTCCCAGTAATCAAAATTAAGGCCTCGACACAGAGGCGTACCCCAGGCGGCTTGACAGACAGATGGATCTCAATACAATTATAGTGTCAATCCCCGATGGTTCAGCTACACAAATATACATAAAAACGGAGTAAGCAAGGCTCAGTGAATAATAGTAGGTAAGGGATTTAAATGAATAAACATGAATTATAGCGCATATAGGCACATAAGTCACATGTTTGACCTTGTTCTGTAAACATTTCCTTAACGGCCTTGGGCCTAATATATATACAAAACGGTCTCAGGCCCAACATATTATACAGAATGGCCTCAAGCCCAATATATTATACAGAACGGCCTCAGGCCAACATTTCGACAGCTGTCCACACATTGGAGGGTAGGTAGAACATCGACATGTGCACTACCTCCCTTGGCCTCTGGCCATGAATAATAATCGATTTGAATCATATTAGAGTCGGTGAGACATCGACATGTCATCACCTCCTTCAGTCTTAGAGTTGTCCACACTCCGTGGCTTATATCTGAATGGCCTTGGGCCCATCACTAGCACAGTAGAACGACCTCCGGTCCTTAAGGATATCATTGCTCAATAACGCACATAAGTTTTCCAGTTATTCACCATAAAGAAACATAGCTACTTATGCATAACAGAATGCCATCGATAACTATTAACAGTAAATGAAACAGAACATTACACTACTATTACTCACAGTGATGGACCTCCGGTAGCAATGGGACGATGTCCTCGTCTTGACCTACAAACACAATGGACGTAGTATAATATAAGGATATAATCAATCTCTTTCTTGTTCTTTAATCAATAAGCCATGGTGGTTTTAAACTCATTAGTCTTCAATAGGTCATAACCCGTGTCTCAGAAAATAAGAAGAATCGAAAGGAAAATGGTTTAGAAAAAGAAATGGTATTAAACCGGTAGACAAAAAGTGAACAATCTTCACTAATTTGGGCATATCTATTTGTGTACTTAGAATTTTGGAGTGATACCACTACCATTGGAAACTAGACTTCTGGGGCTTGAATTTAGGCTCAAGAATCACCTAAAACGGAGTCCGAATGCAAAAGATATGCTTATTTGAAGTTGGCTGAACAGGGCTATCCCGCATGTGCGGGAAACTTAGCCGCACGTGCGGGAATTGGGCCACAAGTGCGGGACCACGTGTTTTTTTAGCAGAATTTGGAAATGGATTGCCGCACGTATGGGAAGACTCGCCGCACGTGCGGCTCTGGGTCAGTTTTACTGTCCAAAAATGTTGTTTGCTCTAACTCTTGTTCTTTCCATTTCTAAGCTTGGCTTCCAACTTAAATCACCCAAAAACATGTAAAATTGTCCCACAATATGAAAAACTATTATCATTCAAGTGTAATTCCATTTTAAACAAATCATCTTTGCCTCAAGTTCAAGATCAATGATTTACCTTTCATAGTTTGCAAGTTCCCAAATCATAACTCACAACACACTTGATCCTTACATAACCTTATTCTATGGACAATCTAGGGTTCATTCATATGGTATTTATAAAGTTGAGTTTCAATTATAACCAAAATCGTAGAACCCAAGGTCTCACTTCTTAAATTAAATTCAATTAAATACATACTTAGAACCCTAACTCAAATGGGTTTCAAATCTTCCAATATCACTATAACTTCATGAAATTAATGCATTAAACATAAGAATTCAAGGTAGACTTCCATACCTTTGCCCAATCTTTGTCTTTCTCTTAGCTCTCTTCAATTTCCCAAACTTCCATGGATGATCTTTGTCACGCCCCTAACTTGCCCCTAAAAGTTTGGGCATGACCTAAACAGAAAAGGACACTTACCCTGGTTCCAAAGAGGGGCCTGACCGAAAGCTGTAATAATAAGTGATATAAACCAGAAATTATGACATCCATTGAGCTACTAAGTCATGCCAGGATCATAAACATTTTATAGGACAAGTACACCAAAAGCCAAAATACATTTGAGAGTTAGTTATTTACAGGCATATACAAATCCAACCCCGAGGTAAGGTATATAACAAAATCATTAAGTACATAATAACTTAAGCCAATAGCAAAAGTGTAAGCCATTATCTAGCAACTCCACAAAAGTAGGGTCCCGACCCCAAACTTGGCTGTGCCTAGGCTGACAAAAGTATGACGATGCCGAGCTAAGATTGACCTCCTGGTTGATCACCTACAGAAACAGGCATAACACAGGGTGAGCCAAGCTCAGTGAACAATAGTACTAGTATGCTTGTAACATAATTAATGTTGAAATCATGTAATCAGTCTGTCTCTGTACAGCTTGTTGGGACAACATAATCGGTTTGTCATAATGTGGCCCCTGGCCTAAGAACTTCACACATTCAGAAAGGGTCCTTGGGTTCATAATGTACGATCCATCACATAGCCCTTTGGTTCTTTTTGATCCACAAGCTTACTATAGTATCATTCATATTTCACATATCGGCCCTTGGCCTCATGATTTCATTGTTCACAGATGGCCCTTGGCCACATTGATTCACAATTCACAATTGACCCTTGGTCACGTAGTTTCACATTAGGGCTCGTAGCCACATTGATTCACAAATGGCTCTAAGCCACATTGGTTCACGAGTTCACAATTGCCTTGATACGTTTCATTAGTCACAAGCTTTCACATAAGATGTGTGCAACTTCACAACCTTTTTCAGTGTTTCCACAATTTCGTATTGAATCACTTATAGCAAATATATCATTTCATGCCAACACAAGTTTGATAGTGAAGTTTGTAACGTCAAGATATAACGTCAATACTTAATATGACAATACTTTCAACAAGGGTCACAACGTCAATAAAAATAAATACTGAGTAGAGGTACATTGAAGTACTATTACTCACTGTGTTGTGTCGGTGCACTTCCTTTTGAGGCGTTTCCTACACACACGAAAAATCACATTAGTCCCTTTTATCCTTGTTAAATCATCATTCGGTTCACTTACTTTAATTGAATTAACGAACTTTCAAACAATATAAATTGCAGGTTTTGACAACATTAGAGGACCCAACACGCAAAACGGAGCATCCTAATTTTTCTGACTTGAGCCGCACGTGCGGCTAGGATCTCCCACACGTGCGGCACACCTCCCGCACGTGCGGCATTGAGGCCCCGCACGTGCTTTTTTTGCAGTGTTGAAGTCCAAAATTTTGCCATTTTCCCGCACGTGCGGCAGTGACTCCCGCACATGCGGCTGAGGTTCCCGCACGTGCGGCGATTCTGCACCAAAAGTCCGAAATTTCTGCATAATTTCTTCCTCTTGTAGACATGTTTAGGGCCTCAAAATCCAGCTTTAAATTACCAATATATAAGCTCAAAGCATGTGAATACATGTGAACAAGGATCAAATTACATGTTTCATTTGAGTAAAAGTCAAATTATGAATCCACAACTTAAATTCACTCCCATTCACAAGGTTCCCACTTGTTCTCACATCTCAACTCATAAACATAAAATCATGCCACATACTTGAATTCAAACAAGTCAATTGAAGAAATAGAGTAAAGTTTCTCATAGATACTTCAAATTGGGTCAAAACATGCAAGGTAAGATCATCTTGCTAGTTTACTACTTCTCATACTCACATCACTACAATCCCAACTATTAGGTACATGATTATAGAAACATCTTCACATAAATTATGACAAGAAGGGTTGTGGATGAAAATTAGACAAACATTTACATACCTTAAGCCCAAATCTCAACCTTCTTGAGGACCTTCTCTCTCTACCCCTTCAATTCTTAAGGTTAGAGTTATATTTCCTTAGCTTGTCAAATGACCAAGAACACTCATATATTTCCATAAAGAGAGAATGAGACGAAAATCAATCGTTTACACATCCGAAAATTGAAATTTCACAGAAGTGCTTAATATTACCTAAAAATTATGCTGGTTCCAAATATGTGAGCAATTTTGACTTATTAAGCCGCTAAGGCCCTCAATTTCTACTTTATCGTTCTAGTAGTAACAGATACATTTCTTTCCTAACAGATACAATTCATTCCACAAAGGCATTACAACATAGTTACTTGAACTTATTTTCTTGTACAGTTTCATCTTAGACATTTAATAGTACAGAATAAAGGACGAACATATATCACAAGCATATATGAGGGTCGGGTTGTTACAATCTTCTTCCTCTCTCTTCAATCTCTTCAAGTTTATCTTCAAGCTTCCATGAATGGTGAGCTCTCTCTCTCTCTCTCTCTCTCTCTTAGTGAAGCTTCCTCTCTCTTTTGCCCTCTCTTTCTCTCGGTTCCCTTTCCCCTCCGTAGATATTTTTGGACTCCACTTGATGAGTTCAACAACTCATATAACATATATATACATAAAAGCTTTCCACAAGTAGGGAGGGCCAAACACACCCTTACGAATCGCACAAAATTAAATTTCAATTAAACTTCCCAGATGACTCTAAAAATTATGCTGATCATAAATATGTCCTATGTTCTAGTTTCTGACGCCTCTAAGACCTTCAATTTGCAGTGCACAGTTGACCACCCAAACATGCATTAACGAATCAGACGAATTAAATTTCCAATTAACTTTCCCAAGTAGCTCTAAAAATTGCCATTAACATATGCAAGTACTCAATCTTGATTTCTGAACCCATAAAGGTTGGCAATTTCAATTTTAAAGTCGTAACTCAACAGATAATGCTTCAATTCAAAATATATAATCACATTAAAGCACATTAACCCATAGGTAAATAAGAATAATTCCTTATACGCATTTTGGGGTCGTTACATTTCAACAGACCCAAAACTAATGGTTTTGTTTGGTTCAACAGTGATGAAAATAAAGATTATATTCGGTTCAACAGTACTAACTATCTACATTAATGTTCGGAACCTATGTATTGAACGAAATGATTATGTTCAGTATTGTATTACCGAGCATAATTCTAACAGTCATCAAACCAGTACCGAACAACTCGAATGAAACAAGAACGACCGAAAACGATCGAGAATGTTAATACAAGACAGATAAACTTACCAATGGAACGCCGGTTTCACTAGAATTGTTGTCCTCGTCCTCCATTGCTCTACACAGTGAAATAAGTGATGAAGTATACATTATACTTGAAGCAAAACTTTCAAGTTCAATAGCGTTGATGATGGTGATAAAGATAACACATTCATGATTGAAGATGATTATGAAAAATAATAGATTTAGGGTTTATGTTAGTTGGTTATGAAAAGTAATAGGTTTAGGGTTTACAAACATGGAATACGTATAGTTGGAGTTGGATGTGGGGGTGAGAGTGGAGGCGGGTGTCCAATATTATAGAGTATTAATTCTTATTGATATGTGGGTGTTTCATTTAATAATGTCTTTTAATGTAATTTTACTTTAGGATATAATTGTAATAAAAAAATTATAAAATAGGGGATCCAAATAATTTTTACCGTTGCTAATAGCAGCACTCTTACTTAATGGTGTGTCTTGAAATGATAACTGGTGCGTAAATAGACCCTTTCTAATTTTTCCTAATTTTTCAATTAAATGTGTGTGCTGATTTTATTTGAAAATAGAATTAGAATCTCTCAATCGAATTCAAAGTAGGCTACAGCTATATTATTATTTAAAAGTTTAATATTAGTAATAATAGTAATGAATAATATCCAATCCGATACATTCACATTGCTACGTGGCAGCAGCCCATTTTGCCTCTTAAATTTCCGGGGCCCCCATTATTCATGGTGGCTACTGCTGGCTATGAAACAAAGCGCAGTCTCAGACACAGCGAGAGAGAGAGAGAGAGAGAGAGGGAGTAATCACATCAAAACTCTCTTAAAATGGCAGGGATTATTGGTTGCTGCTGTTCTTCAACACTCTCTTCTCGGAGGTAAAGTTGATTCTAAACTCAAACTAATTTCAATTGTACAGTAGAGTCATTCTCAAGAACCCGTGTGTGGTTGAACCAAAAGAAATCACAATGAATCTCACCAAGTAAACATCCACTTTTATGTGTTTTACTGCAAGCATTTGGCTAAGTTAACGTGAGAGTATTCATTCATGAAAAGGATCAAAACATCACAAAATACACAAAATAAGTAAATTTAATGTGTTAATTTCAGAAATTGAAGTAAGGTTGCTCGTATCTTACCTTTCCTAAGTTCCACTTTAGATAGAACCTTGTGCACTGGATCACCCAAATGATTCCATTTTGTTTTCCCATATCACTCAAATAGTTTTTGATGGAATTCAATGCTGAGCTTTACATGTATACTAGCAGATGGGCACACCCACATGGGTGTGCTTGAAATCTGCAGTTATAGGGATTGATGTGTATTTGAATTTGACAGTTACGGAAAGGGTAGTTTAAGAATAAAAGGAATTTGTGACATCCACACCAACAACCCTGTTTGGCTTTAATTGATAATATAGACATATATTATGTGGCTGTGATGTTGGTGATTCTGGTAATGACTGACTCCACTATGTTATTGGACTTGAGCATTCAACACAGAGAGAAATGGAATGTTGAATTTACATGTATTTGGGAATAAGAGATTTGGGGATGTCTCTTTCAGCAATTTGCGGACATCTTGGTTTGTATTTGAGAGTCATAGAGGACAGAACATGACAGGGAAACTGAAACCAGTTGGTCGAAGAAATTTGGTAATTAAAGCGGAAGTGAATTATGTTAATGCTGAGGAAGCCAAGGAGCTTGTGGCAGTTGAGGGATATTCAATCCTGGATGTGCGAGACAAAAGACAATATGATCGAGCACATATCAAATCGTGTTATCATGTTCCCATCTTTATCGAAAACAACGACAATGACCTCGGTAAAAAAAAGCCTCTCCTTTTTGTATCTAGTTGTGTACCATACCAAGTAATTAATTGTTCATATTTCTTATAAGAAACTTGAAAACTTTCATGCGTTATTGCTGTATGTTTAACTATTTTGTGCAGGCACAATAATAAAGAGGACAGTGCATAATAATTTTTCGGGTTTGTTCTTTGGTTTGGCTTTCACTAAATCCAATCCTGATTTTGTGCAATCTGTAAAGAGCCAGTTTTCACCAGACAGTAAACTGTTGCTTGTCTGTCAGGAAGGACTGAGGTCAGTTTTTAGATTTCCTTACTAGCCAATTCTGATAGAATTAAGTTAATAATTGTCGGTGAAATATTATTTTCAGAAACTTTTGGAGGAGGATTGTTGCAATACACACCGGTATTCCTCTACTAAAAGTTGTTAATGAATTGAGTGCTCCATATTGAATTCTTTGGTGTAAGGGGGGACTTCTTATCTAAGAAGGACAAACACGTTTAAGGAAGTGTCGTGTCTGTGTCCAAAAATGTTACACATCAATTCTTATCCATGCTTCGTAGACTTTTAATCCCATGGCTACTACAGCCATATGTACAGGAATAGCATCAGTAGATGGGTTTCTTAAGGAGCCTTAGTGGGAGATTTAAAGAAGTTGTAACAGTCTCTGCAGTATAACAACCTCCTAAGACTGTGTTTGGATCATGGATTTAGATAAGGATTTGGAAAAGGAAAAAGAAAAGGAAAATATGAGTGAAATGTAAATAAAAGTTGTCTATATAATTCGATTTATTTGGTTTCTTCTCATGTATTTTATCTATATATGGTTACTTTTAGATGTCATCACAAATTTTCCCGTCCCCCAAAATTTTCAGAGCTGACAATATCATTATCACACTAAACAAATATATTAGTTACAGTTTACTGAATGTAAAATGGAGTTGAGTGTTCCTTCTGATCCCTCCTTGCTTAACACCTAAATCGCTTTTGCATCATACTGAAATCATTTGACAGCACTATCATTCTTTTTAAATGCTTTTAAGGTCTGCCGGTGCTGCTAACAAGCTGGAAGCTGCTGGTTTCCAGAATATAGCATGCATAACATCAGGGCTTCAGTCGGTAAAACCAGGTCAAATCCAATTCCAACACTTGTATCTGTCACGGCGTGTATACAGTTTGAAAGACAATAAATAAAGTAATAGTTATTTTGCAGGGATATTTGACTCTGTTGGTTCCACTGAGCTAAAAGATGCAGGCAAGGGCGGATTGGTTACAGTTCAAGGCAAGATCTCAGCTGTTCTTGGAACTGTACTTATCTGTAAGTTCTTTTTAATTAATACCTCCTGCTAGCTTCCTTCAAGTGTTTCTGAAAATATGAGCTTTGATATTTCTTTTTTATTTGATTCTACTGTCTAATAATACCACAGGCGCATATCTTTTCATAACCTTCTTCCCCGAGCAAGCAGAGAAGCTGCTCCAAATGGCCCCTGCAAGCTAAGCCCTTAGACGGAACCCAAATTTTGCTGTGTTTCTCTTTGTTTCTCATGTGATTCGAGGAATTCAAAGTTCGGATATTTACATCAAAAAATTTGTAACTGAAAGAAGATAAATGGGTAATGTTGTTTATTATTTTGGTAGTGCAAGACACCTGATTTAGATTTATTTTTTTTATTTTTGAAATTTTGTGTGTGGATGCTACCGTTTGCAAAAAATGTAGAGTAATTGAGAATATGAATGTGTGTTGGTGACAAATGTACTATTTAATTAGATTGATTAAATTTTTTTTTTTTTTTTTCCCTTTCCCAAATAGGCTATGTTAAACTGTAGCAGTCTTAAGCAATAAGTTGTACCAAACAATATTAGTTGTTCGAGTTTATGCAACCAATAGATTTAGAAAAATATTAAGTACTCCAAATGTTTTACCAAATATTCTACCAAATGTCTCACATGCCATGTCGGTCCCATGTGGGCTCTACATCCATGTGAGACATTTGATAGAATATTTGGTAAAACATTTGGGGTCCCGAACAGTACTCATAGATTTAGGTCTTAACAATGTTTGTCTTATCATTGAACTATTTGTTTGGGGACTAAATATTTTAGTCAAAAAGTCATTATAAGTTGTCATATCATTCTCTTTATTTTTCTACATATTTAAGTAAAAAATTACTAAAATAATATATTCTCAAACGATATATAATGCTTTTTATTAATATATGTATCTATATGTTTCTCATTTACAAGAGCTCTTGCATTGCTTGACCAGATACCAGCAATAATGACTTACTTTTCTCAGTGCTAGTGCAGTGTTGGTTTAAATTACAAAGAAACAGTTTTGTTTTCAAAGGAAGGCGGAGAAATACGTTCTTAAACTGATCATTAATCCCTTTTTGTATGAACCAATTTTTGTCCAACTTGACATGGAGGGAGGATGTCTCTACCTCCTTTCACATCCTTACATCTACTTTTATGTAGTGAAGTGCACTCACTGTCGTTCACCCTAATGATGTGAAGAGCGGCAATCAAAGTCACGACTTCCTTGGCAATCATAAACAAGTTTGCAAAATTTGAACACTCAGGGAAAGATGATAGATGCTTTACTAAGAGGGAATGCAAAAGCACTGTAACAACAGGACTCAAATGGCTCAAGTGATTCACAATTGTTTTAGTACTGCTGTTGCTTTCCTAACTGCAAATTTTGGTATAGCTGTAAATACAATATAATGCTCTACTGATACGGATTACAGAAGATGATTTATTTTGAGTTTGACCCTTGTCATACCTAGAATGAATAATAGCCACACAATAACTTTTCTATGCACATTTTTTGTGCACTTTACTGTGCATTTAAGCACTGTTGCTGTAAATATTGTCAAGGCCTACTTCCAATTATTATTATTTCCTCTTCATGACAAGAGCCACATGTACATGTACATGATTCATTTGGACCCAAATGTTACAGGTTTGAAACACAAGAATAGGCTCTCCATACTTGAGAAAGAAACTCAATAACGAGAAGTTGTTTGGTGGTCATGGAATGTTTGCTCTATACTATTCATTGATTTTTGTCTAGTTGTCTCTTAGAAGGAGAAAAAAAAGATAGTGAGTCCCACTGTTTTTACCAGTAAAAATTAAGTTGGAAACCATCTTAGCTTGTCTAATATCATAGGAATTCTCAATGTGTCCTACTTGGAGGATTTATTCATGTTGGGTTATTTTACAATATACTTCTAGGGTGTACCATATACAAGTTATGAGATTTGTGGAGTTGATACCATAAATGTTACAGCTAAATCAAATTTAAGTCCTAACAAAAAAAAAAAAAAAAACATATTTAAAGTCATAACATAAAACAAGCATAATAAGTCAGGCAAAACCAAAAACCTCTTCATTCGTAACCAAAATAATAATCACAATAAGTCATAACTAAATCATAATTAAGAGTTATAATCAAACATCACTTAAGGCATAATTAAAGGCCTCTTCGGTCATGACCAAAATAAAAATCACAAAAGATCATAACTCATAACTACTACTACAATAAATCATAGTCAAATATCAAAAGAGTTATAACTGCTCATATGTTTGGAGCGTGTACTATAGAATTGCTCTGTATTAATAGAATTCAATAAGAACTTGGGCTTGTTTTGGCAACGTGGATTGTAGTCGCATTTGGACGTTTGATGAAAAGTCAAACGTGGCTTTTTTGTTCTAAAATCCATTTGGGAAGCTGGATAAACGCAGAATTACAATTTAGAAATATACCCTCCATTCAATGAGAGTAGGTGAAATTCTGGACAATGAGAGTAGGTGAAAGAAATTTTGTAAATTGCAAATGGGAAGAGGGTATTTTGGTCATTTTACATTATGCCATGATGATATGACAACATTAAAAATTATTAACTAAAAAAAGCTAAAAAATCACCTTTTACCAACTTCCCAAATGACTTTTTGAAAAAGCAAAAAAACTCAAATGCCAAAAAGTCACTTTCTACCGACTTTCTAAAATAAACCTTAATGTGCGTTTGGTATTGACTTTTTTTAGAGACTTTAGTGTTGGTTTTTCTTTTTTTTCTTTTTTTTTTTAAAAAAAAAAATTAGTGAACTTTAAAAAAAAAAAAAATTCAAAATGTCTAAAGCTTTTAGGTTCTATTCGACTAGACTAATCAAAAAATGTAAAAAATAAAAAAAAATAAAAAATAAAAAAAAATACATAACATAAACACCGTTAAAAAAAAAAAAGAGTAGAAAAACAATTCAGCGCTTTTGGTTTCAATTTTTTAAAAATTGAGGCTCTGTTTGGTTGTGCTCTGTAATCAATTTTCTACCCGTGTGTTGGAGCATGATGTTTGGTTTCGTTTTCAAATCAATTTTCTACACTCTGCAGAGAGAACTCTGATGCACAGGCGCCTTTTTTGTCCACCCGGATGTCCACCCGGATGTCCGGCTGATTTCCAGATTTTTTTTTTTTTTTGCAATTGATTTACATAATCGGGACAAATATTTTCTGAAAATTTTTAAATTTTTTATGTGCTTTAAAATAATTTTGAGTTGTATGTTTAGTTATGAGTTGTAAATTTTTGTATCACATATCAAATGTCACATCAATAATTCCCCACTCAAATCAAACCTCTTTTCCAAAACTATTTTCAAAACTCTTTACCAAACAAATTTTCTACACTCAAATCATAATTCCACAACACACAAACTCAAAATACAACTCATACTCTCAAATCACATTTACAAAACACAACCAAACGCTACCTGAGGCTCTGTTTGGTTGTGAATTCAAATCAATTTTCAACACGTGAGCTCGCGCATGACGTTTGGATAAAATGTTCAAAAGTTGATTCCGCGTGTTAATTCAAATTACAATTTGAAAATCCGTTTGGCATCTCGTAGTTTAGTTCTCCACTTTCAACGTGTCTGTCTTCTTCCTCTTTTTCTCTTAATCTGGTAAATAAATTCTTCATCTATTATGTGCAAATGATTTCAGACGAGTCGAAATCAGTTCTCAAATCTTTTGTGAGAAGTGTAGCCGACTATTTTTTTTTTAGATGTTTTCCGATTTTCACGAACTGTTTCAACCTTTTCCCCACTAATCTGGTAAATCAATCTTCATCTGTTATGTATAAATGATTTCAAAGAAGTTGAAATCAGTTCCCAAATAATTTCTGAGAATTTGTAGACGAGTTTTTTTCATTTCAGATTTGTTAGTATTTTAAACTCCGAACTGTTCGAACCTTTGCACGAAGAAAACCTGAGGCGCAGTACCTGGGACACCCGGCCGGTGTCCCCCGGGTCATCCGGCCGGTCATCCCCCAGGTCATCCCACCGGTCATCCCTTCCTGCCAACTTCTCTACTTTGAATTGTTTGATATTATGCACGAAGAGAACTGTTTGAACCTTTATTTTAAAATGGAAAAATTATTATGAAAAAACAATTATTCAAAAAAAATACTAAAAAAAATTAATTGACAAAAAAAATCAATTTTTAATTTCAGTATTTTAAAAATAGTTTGGTTATTATTGTTGATAAAAAAATATGGATATCGATATATGAGTTGTGTGTTTGATGATAAATTATTGGTTGAATTAAGTTTTGAAAACTATTTTCAAAACACATCACCAAACAAATTTTTACAGTTCACATGTCACATCAAACTTTTAAAACTTAATTCAAAATACATCTTCAAAACACAATTCAACACTCTATTTAAAAACTATAACCCAACAAATTTTCTACACTCAAATCATAATTCTACAATCTACAAACTCAAAATACAACTCATACTCTCAAATCACATTTACAAAATACAACCAAACGCCCGCCTAGAGATTGGAAAGTAAGAACAGTATTTTTAGTCAAACTGGGCGTTTAATAGTGGGGTTCCCTAACCAAGTCACTACCTATGAGTCATCGACTCATTCTTCAACAGGTACAAATCAAAGCCGCCAGCTCCTTATACTGCTTAGGAGTTTATGGTTTTAAATTCTATTTCACTCTGGGTACATAATATATAGAATTTTATAGAAAAGAGATGTGACAAATTAAGTATGTGACAAAGAGATGTGACAATTTCATAGAATTTATAGAAAAGAGAGATGTGACAAAGAATTAAGTATGTGACAAAGAGATGTGACAATTAAGTAGAATTAAGTATGTGACAAAGAAATGTGACAAAGAGATGTGACAATTCGTAAAATTTCATAGAAAAGAGATGTGATAATTTCATAGAATTCTACAACGATGTTAAAGGTCACCTGTGTACTTAAGTATGTGACAAATTAAAAATTGACATCTATCATGCAAAATCATTGCATCAAATTGTGAGTATTTTTCGAAATCCCAAATAAGCTTAATGAGCTTAATTTCAGATGAAGCACAAGACGGAACAAAAAATCATTTTCAGGAGATTGTCAACAACAGTCTAGGACTATTTATGAACTTCATGCTTTAAAAAAAAATCCCCCCCACCACCAAAAAAAAAAAAAAAAAAAAACCTATTTCTAAATTTTGGTTAGCAGCAAAAAAAAAAAAAAAAAAATTTAAATGCATAGAGAGAGAGAACTAAACATAAAACTTGCAGAAAATGACCGATTAACAAACAAAGTTCAATGTTGAAAGTAGTTCGTCCTAGGCCAAGGTAATAATTCTAAAGCAGACTACATCCAATTCATCAGGTACGCTGTCTCAGTTATTCAAGGGAGTGGTGATCTACACCCGGCTG